AGACTTTGTATTAGAAAGTTATAATTTTTTGTAACGACACAATACAATAGTATGTGTCACAGAGTATAAAATAAAGACCGGTCGCTCGTTAGAATAGACTATCTAAACGATAGTTGATGTCTATGAAAATACAAATCCGTCGATATAGAGAACGTCGAGAATGGGGATCGTATGCGGAAGATAGGAACAAAACTTGGTCCCTAAACTTGAGGCACAATGAGATTTGTACATAATTGTAAATTTAAAATCGAATGAGAATTAGCTAATGAAATCTAAATGAAAGTTATAGTACACTTTGATACAAAATCAGAGATAAAAGGAACGTTGAAAAACAGAGCTCGTATGCGAAAGATACGAAGGAAACTTGGTCCCTAAGCTTGATATGCAACGTCTTTCGTAGTGTAATCTTTAAAAAATTGTAAATTTAAAATATAATGAGAATTAGCCGACAGAGTCTAAATGAACGTTATAGTACTCGTCGATACGAAAGTGGGGATATAAAGAACGTCCAAAACGGAGATCCTATGCGAAAGATATGAACAAAACTTGGGACCTAAGATGAACACACGACACACCCCGTAAAAGGCACGACGCGCCCTTCGTCCAGGCTTCTATAAATAGCGAGCCAAGCCTCCCTCTTTTTTTTGCTGATTCCATTCTTGAGTTTCTCTCTCTCTATAAAACTCTGTCTCTTTCTAAAATTATGGCCTTTTGAGCCCCAAAGTATTCCTGACAAAGTGTTGCAGCGACAGAAAACCGACAGAAAGAAGTGTTTAGTGTCAAAGTTCTGTCTGCGACTTTCCAAGTTTTTTGCTAAACAACCTGTAAGTTGAGTTATGATTATCGTACTTTAAGTATAACTTATACTTATGTTTGTAGTCTTTATTATGAACTTATAAATAAGATTTATCAGTAATACCAGTCGTTATACTAATTGATCTACTTACAAGAGTGATTTTCTAGGCTTGATCCATGAGGTGTTTATAATGGATTTTCCAAACAACGTATCTCTATATACGAATAGATCCTACATCCGATACGATCTTACATGGTTGTTCCTTGTCAACTATAAGTCTATATTCTTTTGAGATTATTGATAAATTTGAGAAAAATATTATAACGATTAAACCTTATAAATACAAACAAATAGTAAGGCTTAGTAATATCTGTATTTATGTCGTTTTAAAGAAAAAACTAAAGCGTTAATCAATGATCTGACTTTCCCGTGAGTCTCCCACCTAATCAGGTGAGTGCATAGTTATTTTCATGAACATAATTTTAATATAAAGTATATATTAATAAATATTAATTATTTGTTGAAATTTTATTTTTGAATTAAATGATTACCATCTGAAATATTTGTTAAATGTATATTTGATAAACATACAATGTGTGAACGGGATATGGTTATTTATATGTTAAGTGTATATATATGATATATTACATGACAATCTTAATAGTGTTAAGTGTATATATGATATATTACATGACAATCTTAATAAAGTATAATTACTTAAAAGATTAATGTATATTAAGTACCTAATAGTCTATGTTAAATATACACACTAAATTATTGTAGTATTATCTAAACAGAGTTAGTATTGGAAGCTAATTACAAGGATTGTAATCTTGCCTAAGTTTTCAAACTCAGACGTATAAATGATGTTTAGATTTAATTAAGTTGGATAATAGTATAGACATACTCTACAACGCGATAGTATCATGAAGACTTTATTAATAATGAATAGTGAACTGGTCTAGTTACAAACTAAGGTTTGTCAATGATATTTAGTTCAAATTAAATTAAAGGAATACTTAGTCATACTTTGTGTTATAATAATATCGCATTAACAAGGAATGCATATTGAAAGTTGATTATTTTATATTATAGTATGGTCTAGTTTTAAATTAAGACGTATATGGGGATGATTAATTCCATTTAAGTTGGATAAAAATGTAGTCGTATACTGCATTACGATAATATGGTAAAAACAGTTAAAGACTAAATGATTGTATAATTGTATTTGAGACTGATATTCAGTTACAAAAAGTTCAAGTTAGAAACTAAATGACATTGTATTTGAGACTGATATCCGGTCATTGAAAAATCGTATTAGGGACTAAATGAAATAGTATCAAAGACTGATATCCATTCCCGTAATGTTAGTACCAAGGACTAATATGATATAAATGGGGCATCGAAAGAAAAAACATTGGAGACTGAACACGATAGTATCAAATATTGATATTCAGTCCCTAAAAGGCAGTATCATGGACTAATGCGACATAAAAGAGGGATTTGAATCAAACATACGAGAGACTGAATGATATAGTATCAGTTACTTATATTCAGTCCTCAAAAGATAGTACCAGGGACTGATATGACTTAAAATCGTGCAATTGAAGAAAACATATTAGCGACTGAATAAGAGAGTATCAAAGACTAATTTCCTATCTTTGCTACTTTGATTTATTAGGGACTGATGTTCAGTCCTAGATACATAAAAAATAGACTATCTAAGACTAGGTCTCAAGGCTAGCTGGGGACTAGCTAAATCAGTCCCCGATTCTCACCAAAGACTGATTATTGACAATTGGAGACTGATTATGTCAGTCTCTGATACCCTTTTTCCTTGTAATGATACCAGTTATAAATTCAAACCTGCTAAGAGCAAACGCTGACCACTATGACATGATATACCAAATATAGAAAAGCTAACACAATAAATCATATTAGCATAGTGATAGACTTATAAACACAAGTACACAACTCATAAGATAATCCCAAAATGACAAACCAAAAAACATTGTTTTTGACTTATTCTACTTTACTATTCATTAACTTCATTGGAACATCCAGCCGGGAGAGAAAATAGTTAAACATGGTTGTGAAAATGAAAGAGATAAGAAATATTAATCTTAACCAAGGTTGTGAAAATCGTTCGGCGGTAGCTCAACGCTCGACTGGCGATAAACGATTAATCAGATTCGGCGGGGATTAATCGACGATTAATCGGGGACCCTAAATTATTAATAAAATCATTTAAAAAACAATATTTCCTAAAAAATGAAGTATTTGAAAATTTTAAACTTTTAAATTTTGAAAATTTGAAAATTTTAGTATAATATTTTAAAATTTGAAAGCTTAATGATTTGAAAATTTAAAATTTTAGTGTAATATTTCAAAATTAAAATTTTTGAATTTTTAAATATTTCCCGCGTATGACCACCAAAAACCGCTAAGCCCGAGTTTAACCGATTTTTGGTAATATGAATGCGTTCAACTCCACATAAATATCGTCATTATCATGCATTCACACTATTTATTATTCATTTTTGTTTTGAACATTGTTTTTCACTCATTATTATTCTTACAGAATACGATTATCAAGAACACATTCTGACAGAATAAAAATCATAAAGAAAATACTTAATCGCCTTATAAACGATTTAGTTAGTGAAAATGAATGATAATGATAATAGTTAGGTGAGGTTGAACGTATTCATATTACCAAACAATAAATTTCTTAATCATTTTCACAGAATAGCATTGTCTAGACGTCCGTACAATCCATATATGAACCTCTCTCTCTCTCTCTCTCTCTCTATATATATATATATATATATATATATATATATATATATATATATATATATATATATATATATATATAATTTATTATTAAGTTTAAAACATAAACGGGTCACGTGTCAACTCGGGACTTTTTTTTTTGCAAATCCGAACACGAGCTGTTTAATAAACAAGTTGCAGATTGGCGGGTTGAAAAACTCAATTTAAACATGTTTATCTTCGTGCCGGTCTCGTATCGTATCGCGGACCAAGAATTGCTGCTAGGCCTACTTCTTACGACCTTGAAAATTGATGACCTATTTTATCTTTCATCTGAATCATTTCGTAGTTTCATCTGTATCATTTCATTTCGTACATTTGATTATTTGTCGATTATTTAAAAGAGAGCAAGATACATTTTTCAAATCATCGGAATGTATTTAAATAAATTAAAAAATCAAGAAAAAAATAGTCTTTTTCGGTAAGACAGGGACCAAACGCGTAACAAAAACAAACAGCAGCGACCTTCCAAGTTAAAAAGATGAGTAAGGGACCAAATGTGAAAATCACCCTAAACCATAGGGACCATTCATGTAATTTACGCAAAAACCAATTATAAGAACAAATCGTCGGACCCACAAAATTAAAGTAAATTAAAGTTCTAAAGCGTGTTATGAATCACCATGTGTTCTGTTGGTGACGTGTGGAATTTAGCGTTTCTAGAAATTAGTTAATTACTTTTAGTTATATTTTTAATCAACCCCATTACTTAATAAGAATCATTTAATTTAATATAATTAGATAGATAGTGATTACCCGAGATTTATCTCCTTAAGCAGTAAGCAACAAAACACATGTCTAAACCTCATTAGCCTCTATTAATATATAACTATTTTGGCCCTTTTAACTTGCTACTTTTGTCTCTTTTTCGTAATACTAAATTAAATCTAGATTAATTGAACATGTAAGCAATTTCATTTCCTACAATACCCTCATTTGCATTCCTCTGTAGAGACTCACAAATCGCATCCAAGAAGGTAAATATTTTCCAACGTTTATTGCTGTACCCTTTATGATTTGCTGGACAAATTATATTTTGTAACGGATATATCATATGGAAAATTTGTATTTAGTTAACAAATATATGCTACAATTGGCCTTTATATAGTAACCGTTTATAGAAAATTAATTAATAGGGGATGTAACTTAGTCGAAGGATATTTTGGTAAATGTGGACTAATCAGGTGGGGTTACTTTAGTAAGGTGATGCATATTAAGTGAATATGGAAGAAGGGATGGTTTTGACAGAGACCCTTATGAGTTTGCATGATGATGGTTTTACAAGGGTTTTATATTGGTATAAATATGTGCATTATGTAAGATATTTAGCACAAAAGTAATAACACTAAATGCATTAGGAAACATAAATATGGAAGAGCATTTAGTGTCTTGGAGAAAAGGTCCATGGACTGCTGAAGAAGACCAGTTGCTTATTGAACATGTCAAACTGCATGGCGAAGGAAGATGGAACTCTGTGGCCAAACTTACAGGTATGTTATATCTATCTCTTTCTAATCATATATAAACTTTTCTTGCATGGAAAACCACACGTTAATTTGCATGAGTATGCATGTATGGATGGAATATGTTGTAATTTCATGGATCTTATGTGTCACAGGGCTAAAAAGGAACGCAAAAAGCTGTAGATTAAGGTGGGTGAACTATCTTAGGCCAGACCTAAAGAGAGGCAGAATTACTCCTCATGAGGAAACAATTATTCTTGAACTACATGCTCGATGGGGAAATAGGTGAGTGAGTCCTTCTGGTATTTTTCTTCAAGACTTACCTATGACAATTGACAATTTGACACGTATGTCTTATGAAACATATGGTATTTGTTTGTAGGTGGTCAACAATTGCACGAAGTTTACCTGGCAGAACAGATAACGAGATCAAGAATTATTGGAGAACTCATTTCAAAAAGAAGGGGGGAATAATGAGTTCAGAGGAGTCAGCAAAGCTAAAAACGCGCTTATTAAAAAGACAAAAATTTCAACAAGAACAACAAAAACAACTTTTTCTACAAAAAAATGAAGACATGAAAAGGGTGCTTTTGTTGCTCGAGGAAAGTGATAACAAAGTAACTTGGAGTCACCAAGATATGGTTAATAATGAAATACCAAGTGTCTTTTACCCTTTGGTGTTTAACAATTCTCAACATGTGGTGGAAACCACCATGAACGAGGATTTTACTTTGTGGGATGGCTTGTGGAATTTGGAGGATATTTATCCTGCCACAACCAAAGGTTGTGTGCAGAATCTAACGATGCCCACTCCTATATTTTGATCATCAATAGTGGCTAAATTAGCCACATAACTCGTACCAGTATTGTTTTCTTGATGTAAGTTATCTTAATGAAATAAAGTTTACCTTTTTAGTAGCTTTAATTTATCTTTGCCTAGAGAAAATTATCTACTGCTCCCAAGTCGACTCGTTGCTGCAAACAAATTTTTATATATATATATATATATTATATATATATATATATATATATATATATATATATATATATTATATATTATATATATATCTATATATATATATATATATATATATATTTTCCACCATAGGTACGAAATCTTCTTTTAAAGTGACCCCATCACCCTATGCATATCTTAAAGAATTACTTAGGTGCCAAATTAGACTATGCTGTTTTAATTAAAGAGACAGGAAGTATATATTGAGTTATTAATATTTTGGTTCCAATTGTGCTTCATTATCAAGGGTAACATATCGTCTCGTGTAGTTCTTAGACATCTCCAAAGATGACTTAATTAAGTATTTATTTTTTTAGACTAAATTACTTAAATGGACCCTTCGGTTTGGTGAAAATTACAACTTCAGTCCAAGTTGTTTTTCTTGCAACACTCATTCTCAATATGTTTTTTTCGTGCAAGACCAATCCCTCTGCCACACAACGTAAGATAGGGTCCGCTAACCATCATCACATGCCCGACACACCAGGGAAATTCTGTCTTTCTCTTTCTACATGTCAAGTGTAAATCTAAGTAGGGGGATATAATCTCCTTTGTATGAAAAATCTTTTTTTCACATCAACCCCAATTGGTGGCTTTCTTCTTCCTCTATTCGTGCATTGGTTTTGCTTCATCATTTGTCATTTACCAAGAACAACATGGTGATTTATAGTTGTGGACGACCTACAATCATTCTTACGTCATGCATAGACAAGCTACATTGCTTGACGTTTTTGGGCTTGTTCAAAAAACCAACTTTAGCTGCTAGTTTATTGGCTGAGTCGACCCACCATTAGGGCCATGGATATTATTCTAGGTTTGTTGAGATAAAAAATACGCTTCAGGCAGCTGGTATCGAAGTTGTGTCTGAAGCAAAGAAGTACATCAAGATGTTGATTGCAAGTTGGTCTTTTTTCATGTTTTGTTTTTTCTTTTGGGTGTAATATTGTTGATAATAGTTGTTGATGTTATTGTTCTTGTAGCCCATGAGTTGCAGTTTGTAATTGAAGGGTTTAGTTTGAATATTATTTTGGATGTATGTTGGTAACATTATGGTTGAATGAAAACATATTTGTTGGTGACATTGTACTTTTGGTTTGTGTTCATCATCCTTTATACCAAATGCATTTAAACACAATTTTTTTTAAAATAGGGTGTTATTAAGAAAAAGATCAACCAAAATCGCCAAACATAGCACGTTAGTGTTTAACACACGCATTTACATGGACCCCATTACATACTAGTTATAAAGACTTACACATAACATAGGTAACATAGTAAATAAAACAACCAAGACATGATAAACTCCGTTCCACTCAAACACCAATTGTTTTTCCTTTCCCTTTCCTCCCCACACTTTCATTACCCCTTGAACTTTACGGGTGCCTCCTTAATCCTTGCAACTCCTTGAATTGTGAACTTGATTGCAATGTCCTAAATTTCAACCAAAATTTTCACTTTTAAAATAAGAGTTATCAACCATAGACCATTTCAAAAGGTAAAATAAAAACATTTATTTTTTCAAAAAATATCACATTGTGTTCCAAAATCAGAGTAAAAAACATATCAACGGAAGTCTATAAAAACAAAACCCATGGATGCAGTACAGTTATGCTGCGCTCTTCCCCTTGCCACTAGAACAACCCGAAAACATTTAAAATTCAACAAGTAAGCAATAAAGCTTAGTGAGTTCCCAAGATATTGCATACACATGTTAAAGCTATAGTCTAACCATAATCTTACACCCACATCTGAATTCTATAATCCAACTATAGTCTTGACTGCTATAGTCCAACTATAGCCTTTCATGCAACAATTATAGTCTAACTATAGTATTTCATCCAAGTACTATAGTCTTCCATACAAAAGTTATATTCCAACTATAGTCTTGAAGGGTTTTAGTAAACTACAACATCCTATGGTAAACATACAACCCTAAATACCTTGGATCTATGTTTTCACTAATTATACATGCAAATGGTTTCCAAGGCATTAAACCTATAACTAGCATGCATTCTCATATAGCAAATAAGATACTAGTTAGAGTAACATACCTTTTGTGTTGTAGCTTGATTACATGGAGCTTAAGAGCCGAGTGCCTCAAGTGTGACACCTCAAATGGTTCACACAACACCAACAACAACTTGGAATAACTTAAGAGAAAAGTCCTTGTGCTCAAATCGGCTAGCCCTCTCATATGAAACCTTAGTGCCGATTTCTTGAGCCATGGGGTCCTTATATATTGTGTCTATTAGGGTTACACTATGTAACTCATGTCTTTCCATATTCTTCATGTTGCATGGGTTAAAACCTCTATGGAGTATCCATGGGTTACTTAATGGGTTTAGCCGAACTATGGATCATAAGCCCACATATATAAGAATGAATGATTTTACACAATCAATCCCCACATATTTAATTAGTGTCTTTTGATCACAGAATTAATTCCAAATTTAATTCTTGATCAATACTAATTAAATAATATGATTTCATATTAATATATTAGAACTTATAATATATTAATAAATCATAAATATCATTTTCTCACAAAAGTCTATCCAAATCGTTCCGATGCCATGCAACCCAAATGGACCATGCCAAGTCGGGTCGAATACATACCAATTATAGTTATGGACTTAGACACTAATCCAACAGTCTCCCACTTGGATAAGTCTAAAACTATTATTGCGTATGACTCCGAAACCCGACTAGCAATTGTAGCTCTTAATGCCACTGTCGAACTCTGAACAAATCAATGACGCGTCCATTAGATAAGGGATCATATATTCCTCCATTCTAGATATCATATGGACTAGGACATGGATTATAATCATTCTCCCTGCCCATTTGTTGTTTCCTGATTTCCAATTTATGACGACCGACTAATTGAACAAATCAAATCAGTCCAGCCTTGGCCAAGCACTTAGGGGTGTCATCACTAAATCATCGAGGGGCCCACAAATATCGCTTTTATCCCTACAAGGGTAAAAGGAATGGATAAACTTCGACTCATATGCTTGTTCTACTACTTGTTCAATTATACACAAATGTATGTTTTATAACATCGAGTTACCAATGCGTTTTCGTACAATCAATGTATAACCAACTCATAGTCAACAACTCATATCTCTAGGTTTGAAGAATATAAGATATTATCGTCTCATGATCACTCGTCATAAAATCCATGAAGTGATTCAAATGAGTGTGGATTTAATCCAATACTCAGAGCTTATGAGCACTCATGAATGTTTTAGCAAATCTTGCTATGTCCAACACCTTAGACATCTACAAGCCAATATCATGACATTTCTTGATTCATATCTACTTCCAACATATGACCGAATGTGGAGAATTTAAATAACTTAGTCATTGGGAAAGAATAACCTAGCTATTCTGGAAGTCAAAACATGCAAAGTGAAACACAAGAATAATACTAATCCTCTATGGTCCCAAGCACCTTTGAGAGTAAATAAAACACCTTTTATTTAAACACCATATTGATTACTCATTATTCATTGTATAATGTTTCAAATAATCAACTTTATACTTGAATCCAAACAATAGTCATGCCATGCTCCAAGCATGCACACTATGTTTTGTCCAAACAACAGTTATGCCATACTCCAAGTATGCACACTATGTTTGTCTATGATCCTTACTTTGTGAAATAGACCAATCGAACATGATTCCAATGATTCTCATTTCACAATCCCAAATCCTTACCGTAAATGTAAGAATTCCAAATTACTACCATTTACCGAAATCTGTTAGATTCTAAACTTATATGCATTGATCCTCTTGTAATGACTATGCACAAAGTCACAAAGACTTGCCAACAGACATTACAGAGTATTCCAATGGAGAGCAATTCCATGGAAACGAAGTCTCAAATTCAAAGTACATTGCTTTGAACATCCTTCTTGCATTAAGTTTTCTAATCTTACACAGATTTAATGGATAACTTCCACCTATAGGAACATTTCCATATTCCCATTTTGAGTATCACTTCTGAACAAGAGTTGCCTTTTTTCAGAATATGTCAATATGGTCCTCTCCAAAAATTTACACCATACTTCCAACTGTCCCTGAGCATCCAATCTTTGGTAAACCATAGATTGTCATCGACAATTGCTTAATCACTTCAGTCATATCCAGTTCTACTACTTTTTCCCTCTTAATGCGATAGGCATTTGGAAAAATTTAGAACAGATGAATATTATAGCACATGCAATCGATCCTATATCCGAAGCATATGGGACACGATTCATGATGTCTCACATAAAGACATGATACTAGACCAGTCTTTTTTGATATAATATTTCTATTTCTATTTGCCATGTTCTCAAAATTCAGATTATGAAAAGGGATGTCGTAATCACAATCGAATTTTAGAACGCAAATAATGTTCCCATATATAGAATTTCCTTATGTTGAACCATTCCAACATAACATTCATATATATACTTGACTAAATTTGATTAAAATTTCACGATCTAAGCTTTTAGATTCGAAATGAAGTATAATTTCCTCTCCCTTAATTATAGCAAAACAACTTTTTCCCAATTGAAACTTTTGTTTTCTATAATTAACATTGCTAACTTGCAACACTTATTATAATTATTATGCTCCCACTAACATGATGATTATTAGCATAACACTTATGCTCCCACTAGCTTTGACATGTACTCAGAAATCAGTTGGACTTCTAGAAATCAATACTTTATTGACTTTCTTACCAAAGTTCAGATTTCTGATACGAGATGCTTTGATAAAACTTTATCAAAGTCATACACCTTCCCTTAGATAGCTCAT